GGTGCTGATGATTTCCAAGACTCTTAGAAAAGCCAGTAGAACCTCCACCTGGCACATTCTCGGAACATGAATCTCTGGAGCCCTGAGTTCCCCTGTAAAATGTCCCACTATTCTGAAGCCACCATGCTAGAGAGACCTAGAAAGGCCACAGAGAGTCAGAGAGAGACACCTGAGGAGCTCTAACTGTTCCAGCCTTTGAGTCTTTGGGTCATGCCCATCAGTTTCCACCGTGGGAGTGAGAGAACATTCAGCTGACCCAGTGTCATTTTGGGCTGTCAGCACTAGAGCCCCCAGTGAAAACTGCCTGGCTGAGTCCTGTCAACTCATGGAACTGTGAGAGGTAACACTAAAAATCCCTGGGATCTTTTTAAGTCCCTGCATTTTGGGCCTGTTTGTTCTATAACACAATGTAACCAAAATTATGGGTTCTGTTTCATAAAATGGAGGGATTTATGTAATGCTCTGTTATTGCTTTAACATTTTACAGTAACTGTCACTTTAGGAAGAAATTTTTTTTTATTATTTTAAGGAAGATAAACTATCTTGCCTATTAAACCATCATGCTTAACATGGTTCCAGAATCTTCTCAGTTATGTAAGCATCCATCGGGCAGGTCTATAATTTTTCTCTCTTTATTCTGGTTTCATCCAGCCCATATGTGATAGAATGGAATATCTAATAGAATATCTAGTAGAACAGAATAAGAACCAGTAGGTTTAGACCCAGGTCATTTGAATTGATCATCATCCTTGTGGGTGGGTCCTCCATCACTTCCAGCTCTTAGGTTCCAAAGGAGACCATATCCATTCTAAGATACATCTCTATTCTCAGTGAATAATGGGGAAGCTGACTTAGCTACAGATGGACTTGTATACAAGTTGGGAGTTTACTTGAGGAAGTGAATTAGGGATAAGGTGAAGACACAAAAGACAATTGATTAAGAAAATAGAGAACCACAAACTTTTATGAGAGCCTTGATAAGTCTTCACAGAGGAGAGTTGTACATCTGGACCTGGATGCTTGAATTCCCCTGAAGGATACTTGTATTTGCCATCTCAACAAATGTCTATGGTAAACCTTCCATTTACCGGGCTCTGACTCTGGCCCTGGGAACAAAAGGATGGATAATTCCCAGTCCATGCCTTCAGTGCACTCACAAACCAGAGAAATTGACACGAAAACTATTTTAAGTGATTTGTAAGACTGGATAAGCAAAGACAATATTCAGACAATGATTAATGTCATTAGCTTTAGAATACAAAAAGATTTTGTGCAAAACAGTCAACTGAACTTCACGTTCTTCTTGAACTTTGTGTTAACGATGCCTGAGAAGAGCCAACCTGTGGCCTTAAGAATAAATTAACAGAAACCCCTGCTATCTAACACAAATGCAAGAGAAACACCTAGAAAAATAAACTGAAAAAAAAATCCACACATTGGGTAGGCTTGGCTTGTAAAACCTATTGCATAAATTGTCTTCAAATATGTATTAATTTATTTACAAAACAAATTTTTTTGAGTACCTAGTGAGAGTCAAAAGGAAAATAGGACAGCGCCCTTGCTTTCCTGGTTTTTCCTTCACAGAGAAGGAGACAAACAAGGAATGTATGAATAAATTTAAAATGGCCGTAATCTGAGGTCTCAAGAAGGCCTGTGATAAGAAATGGAGCAACGTCAGAGGCTATGGTGACCCGGCATGGACTAGCTATTTGAGGTGGAGAGGCAGGAGTCACGGAAAGTCTTTCTTGGATATTTGAGCAGAGAACTGAATAAGAGAGTGAGCCATGAGAAGCTCTGGGTAAACACAGTCCGGGAAAAGGGAAGGGCAGGCAAAAGATGCCACCGTGGGAGCAGCGGGGTGCCCTCAAGGAACAGCGAGCTGGGGGAGCCTAGGGAGAACGGGGGATGTACATATTGTCCTGGTGCTAGCTCGGGACCCAACCTACCTGGCTGAATCCTTCAGACCACGTCAAAGACTCTGAATTTTATTTAATACTCTCAGTATTTGATCTGTGGAACTGGGTAAAATTGCCAAGAGGTGACCTCAGAGAGAGAGACCTATGACCAAGCCCTGCATGATTCTAACACTTAGAAGTGAGGACCCAGCCTAGTAGTCAGTGGAGCAGGAGCCAGGGGCTAGGAAACCACAATAAAGTGGTGTCAGGAAGACCGAGGAAGAAAGCGAAAATTCTTCCAAGAAAAAAGTGGGATCAGCTGTTTCAAATACCACCACGGGAGCCAAACCATCAGCCCTTCAATCCTCCTGTGTGATCTCCTCTCATCTCCCTGGGCAGCCATCATCCCCAGCAACCTCTCCACCAGTCCTGCATCCTCAGCATCCAACCAACATGGAAACTGCCTCCCGCAGAACACATTTTCCGGAAAGTGAAAACGTCTCAAATTTCTTCTTTGCTCTCATTTTCCTTCCACTGCTCATGACTCTCTCTTTATTCTCCTTTTAATAGTGGAATTTAGATGACTCAGAAGCACAGTCTCCTTTTAAAACTGGCATATGGCTTTAGGCAATACCATCTGTGATCTTTTTAACCAACCAAGACTGTGCAGTAACACCTTCTACATTTTTTCTGATAATAAAAACAATACTATACTGTAACCAAGTACAGCTTATCCTTAACATACAAGAGTTGTCTAACACTCCAAAAGCAATCAATGTAATCTCCCCTATTAATAAGCACAAAATAAAACTATGTGATCATCCTAGTGGAGACAGAAAACTCTTCTGACAAAATCCAAAACCCCAAATCCATTCCTGATTAAAAAAAAAAAGAAAAACTCTCAACAAACTAGGAATCAAAGGGAACTCCCTTAAACTGATAAAGGCAACTACGAAAAACCTACATAGTGTTTGGTAAAAGACTGACAAGTTTCCCCTATGATCAAGAACGGCAGGGGCGCCTGGGTGGCTCAGTCGCTTAAGAGTCTGCCTTCCGCTCAGGTCATGATCCCAGGGTTTTGGGACTGAGTCCCCATGGGGCTCCCGGCTCAGCAGGGAATCTGATTCTCCCTCCGCCTGCTGCTCCCCCTGCTCATGTGTGCTCTCTCTTGCTCTCGCTCTCTCACTCTCTCTCAAAAATAAATAAATGATCTTTAAAAAAAAAAAAACAAAACAGGACAGGAATGTACAGTCTCATTACTTCTATTCAACATTGTATTAGGAAGGAAGTAAGGCAGATAGAGAAAGACAAATACTGTATGATCTCACTATTATGTGGAATCTGAAAAAAACCAAACTCACAGAAGCAGAGATCAGATTTAATAGATGATAGATAGGTAGGTAGGTAAATAGGTGGATAGATAGATATGTAGATAATAGAACAAAATAATTAAATACATATATTAAATGTTATTAAATGGTAAGAATAACAACAATCAATGTTTAAAAAGGAATCTTGAATTCTTTGGCAATCGCTGAAGATTAAAAAAGAAGACAAGCAGGCAAGGTTGGTCCCTGCTTGGAAGCACGGTGCTGATGAACTACTTATTGGAGGGAGCAACAGAAATCCAGACACTTCTGCAATGATTTGCATCTGAGAATTGGAGCCTGGGAGGGACAGAAGGGAAGAAGCCCAAGGGGGATAGGATTTGCGAGCACACCCTTTGGAGTGAGAGAGACTTGGGATCAGATACTCCCTGGTCGGCCACTTTCTTGCTGCTGAATTTGAGCAAGGTATATCACCTATTTTGGGTTTTATATCTTTCTTTTGCTATGAGGTCGATCAAACTAACTTTCCATTCAACGTGTTAGGACTAAAGTAAATCATTCACATAAAGCTTTAAGCATAGTGCCTGGTATGAATTTAAGTGGGTATTTAAGTGTATGTGACTTTAAGAGGCAAGTTAAAAAATTTTTAGAGAACACTTCTGGAGGTGTCTGGACCCAAGCCCAGTCTCAGCCCAGGAGAGACTGTTCCAGACAGCTCTGAAATGAAGGGGCTCACAGATGCCCAGTGGGCTGTGAACCCTGGGATAATCCCCGTAATCACACTAATTAATGTCTCTAGAACTTCACCAGCACCTTCCCACTGCCTCACGTACTGAGTTGTGGTGAGAATAAATGTGATACACGTAAATCCCAGCCCTGAGTAAATGCTCAATGAGCTTTATTTCACAGTTGAGAAAGCAAACTGACAGGCTCTCACTAATCCAAAGCCATAGAGCTAAGAAGTGACAGCCTGGACACTCGGGTGCCAGACCCCGAGCTCTGCTGCAGCACGAATGCCTCTGCCCCTTGCCACAGAAGCTCATGTGTCAGAGAAAATTTGCACGGCCATTAATATCTGAAAAACAGCCCGCCAGATGCACTCTGTGGAGTTGCTTTACCGCATTCTGCAGCTTCGGAGAGATTTGCACAAAAACACAAACAAAAACTGAGGTGTAAACTCAAATCTCTTGGCTCCCATGGGAATTATTCCCCCTATGTCTTATCCTAAACATGCCCACCCAAGTCTTTTCTAAGTTTTGTCCTATAAGTTCTTACAATGAAAATTCCTAAAGCTCAGAAGCTGCCATTTATTTAACCTACACACCTCATTTGCTCACACATAATTACGCACGTGTGCACACACACACACACCTGCTGTCACATTACACAATACTAGCACATCAGGGCTTATAAAATAAATGGGACACAAGTAGGGCAATTGGCAGGCAGAGGGAAAAGCAGGCAGAAGTAGGCTCCCTGCTGAGCAGAGACCGATGTGGGACTCGATCCCAAAAACCCGGGATCATGACCCCAGCCAAAGGCAGATGCTCAACCTAAGTCCTTAGCTGTGAGATTTAGGCAATATCGAATATGCAGCACATGGTACATCAGAGGGTGACAAGTATTACACAGAACAATAAATCAGAAAGTGAAGGTAGTAAGTTCGGGTATAATTTTAAGTAAGGTCACCTGGGAAAGCCTCCACAAGTGGGTGACATCTGAAGATAGACAGAGAAGGCGGAGACACTAAGGAATGGCATATTTGGCAAGAGTCCATCTAGGGCTTTCCAGAAACCTTTGTCCTGCACAGGGCTTTCCTAAATGCCTGCTTTACCTCCTTGTTCCTCAGGCTATAGATGAAGGGATTCAACATGGGGGTCACCACCGTGTAGAGCACGGACACCACTCGGTCTTCCTCTGAGGATTGGCCAGAGTTATCTCTGAGGTACATGAAGATGAGGGTACCGAAGAAGAGGGACACAGCCGTGAGGTGGGAGGCACAGGTGGAGAAGGTCTTGGCCCGGCCCCCTGCAGAGCGGATCTGCAGGATAGCCCTGATGATAAACAGGTAGGACACCAGGATCACCACGACACAAAGAGGCATGACGAAGATGGCAAACACAATGATGACCACCTCCTGGGTGTAGCTGTCTCCACAGGTCAGCTTTAGCAGAGGAGGGAGGTCACAGAAGATAAAGTCGATCTTGTTGTTCCCACAGAAGGAGATGGTGAAGGCGGTGACCGTGCGAACAAAGGCGCTGGAGAGACCGGCGCCGTAAGCCCCGGCCACTAAGCCCCAGAGGGCCTTCTCGGTCATGACAGTGACATAGAGCAGGGGCCGGCACACGGCCACGTAGCGGTCATAGGCCATGATGGCCAGAAGGTAGCAGTCAATAGAAGCAAAGAAGGTGAAGAAGAAGAACTGTGCGGCACAGCGGGAGTAGGACAGCGTGGCCCCGTGTTCCAGAAGCACGGCCAGCATCTGTGGCACGATGGCCGACGAGTAGCACATGTCCACGAACGAGAGGTGGCCGAGGAAGAAGTACATCGGGGTGTGCAGCCGGCCATCCACGCGGATCAGGAGGACCATTCCCGCGTTCCCCAGCAGAGTGAGTAGATAGAAGCTCAAAAACACCAGGAAGAGAGGAAGCCCCCACTCGGGATGCTCGCTGAACGCAGTGAGGAAGAACTCAGTCACTACGGTGCCATTCCTCCTGGCCATGCATCCAGCGGGCCGCCGCGAGGACTGACGAGAGCCAGGTGCGGGGGGCCCTGAAGACAAGCGCAAGTCATTTCAAGTAAGAAAGCTTCAACTAGGGTGTCTGAGGGGAGGCACTGGACTTGAGCAAACTTCGCAGTCTAAGTGGAAATGGACAAATGCAGACCTCGCTATAAGATCAGATAAAAGGTGGGGCACCTGGGTAGCTCCCACCTTTAGGCATCCAGCTCTTGATTTCCACTCAAGTTAAGATCTCAGCTGCTGGAAGATGAGCCCCACATCCTTTCTGCACCAGGGATGGAGTCTGCTCTAGATTCTCTAGCTCCCTCTGCCCCTCTCCTACCTCTCACCCTCCTGAAAAAAAAAAAAAAGATAAAAAGTGATGAATGCCTCTATTACACTAAGAATGGACAGCAAGTGATTCTCTGACTTACAAGTCGGCTCTTGTATTTGCATATCTGTCCCCAATTAGCTGTTTCATCTTACACAAGACACTTAACCTCTCTGAACCTCAATTTCCTCTTCTGCTAGAGGGGGATCATAATATCTGCCTTACTTAGGAGATAAGGTTAATGCATAGATTAAAACAAATGCAAAAGTGCTTTGGAAAGCTAAAAACACTCCATGTATATATGGTGGCTATTTAAAATTTAAAATGAATGTTTCTTAAGGAAGGAAAATTTATATTCTATGAACAAAGGAGCATGAACCAAAAAAAAAAAAAATGCCCATTAGGAATCAGCAATAAGCTCTGCTTGTAGGAATATTTTTATTCACAGTCGAAAAACAGGCATGTTTAACCAATAGCTATTATCCTAATTAGAGTTGGCTGGCTTATTAAGGGCTTTGCATTTGTTGTTTTTTGTAAGTACTAGCAATAACCTTGGAATCAAAACAACAACCATCCGCTCTTTTCAACACCTAACAAAACTCAATAAGCATCGTTTTGTTCCTCTCACTGTCCTGGAAAATAGCAGTAGTTTAATAACAGACAGCATCCAAATTTGAAAGCGGAAATATTTCTGCAGCCTGGTGTCTTAAGGGCTGTTGGAGGAATCTCGGCTAATGGCTTTGGAGTCCTTGTAGGGTTGTAGAACAGGGATGTAAAGGAGGACTTTGATTCCATTTGATGACCTGATGCAGCAACAGCCAGGCCAGTACAGAGTGGCCCATTAGGGAAAATAACAAAGAAAAGAAGTTAGATCTGGAAGCCATGGGCTGGGCACCGGACTGTCCTCACCTGAATCTCTCTTGCTGATGCCTTCCTCCTCTGTGTAGTGTTTCCCCTGCCGATCAGAGGAGTCCTGTGTTCTAGGTCACTCATGCAAGATGTGTGACCCTAGGCAAGTCACTTTTCCTCTCTGGACTTCAATTAACCTTGTCTTTATTCCCTTTCAATAATCAACAACACAGCATGAGTCCATAATCACTGCAACCTTGGTGAGATGAGATGGCTTCCAAACCTCTATGTCTGTCATCACTTCATGGAGTCCCTCCCTTTCCTTTCACCTTTGACAAAATAATAAATCCCTGACACTGGAGGTTCCTGGGACTTTGTCAGACTCAGACAGTACAGCAGGGTTAAGGGACCAGCCTGAGCTTCGGATCCAGCACTAAACCTTTCTGGAGATGCTTCCTATATCCACTGCCCTAGCATCATGCCCGAATTGGTCCCAGAGGGGAGTCTCCAGGGAGAGACAATTTATCTTCATGTGACTTCTAATGAGGTGTCTAATATCTTTGAGCATTTCTCTCTAATTTCCAGCTCCAAAAGCCCCATCTCATGTCCTGCTGTCACTCAGCAGCAGCCAATGGGGTTGGTTCCTGGTCTTGCCTCATTCCTGCCTTGTTCCAGAAGGATGGTGCTTTTTTTGAAGATTTCCTGTATCTCAATTGGGAATACTGTCAAATGTTTTGCCCACTGACACTCTATCCAGCTCTGATCTGATCCCAAAAGTAGACTGTTTTGTAAGCACAGGCTTTTGATCCCCATCGCCAAGATTCACTGGAATTGGTGACTCCAAAAATTCACCCTTTGGCAGAAACAGAATCGTGCAAGTGTGAAGTCATGAAACAAATCGTTGGGGAGGCAGGTGTGCATGAGCGATGAACAGACTTATACCAGGCAAAATGAGTAAATTCTTTATGGTGATCCATCTCTCCTCCAGAGAACTGGTTCTCAAACTGGTTCTCCGGATGCATAAGAATTGCCCAGGGAATTTATTTAAAACATGAATACCATCATCTCACCTCCAGAAAACCTGAGACAGAGTCTCTGCCATGGGGCACAGACATCTATCTTGTTGACAGTCATCCCAGGTGGTTCCAGGGAGGAAAATAGGCTTACTGTCCTCACAAGTTTGAAAATCATTACATACTGTAACTTCCATGTGGAAAATCATATTGCAAAGCAGCATATTAAATGATCCATGAGGTCCTATCATTAAGAGGCCTTGCCAATGAGGGGTGCTTGGTTGGCTCATTCAGTTAAGCGTCAGACTTCTGGTTTTGGCTCAGGTCACAATCTTGTGGGTCATGGGATTGGTGCAGCACTGGGATCTGTACTTGTCCCTCTCCCCCCGCCACTCCCCCTGGGCATGCACATGCACTCTTTTTCTCTCTGAAATGAATAATATAAATCTTTAAAAAAGAAATCTTGCCAAGGTTCCTAACCCACCATTTCCCAAAAATATTTGACCACAGAACCTCTTTCTCACTGAGAGCAGATTAGCATCCTGCAGAACTCAAGTTCCCAGGGGTAGATGCGCCTTAGGCAGTACAGCTCTGAAAAAGCTCAGCCGTTGACCCAATGCCAAACAGCAAAGCCATAATGATTCCAAGAAATGCCATCTTCTGATGACTCATCATCTTGAAATCTGGCTCCTTCAAGTCTCTGCAGACCGGCTGCCCCAAGAGCAGTGGCTCCCACTGTGAAAGATATTGGAAGGGGTTCGGGTGGGCAATAGCCTTCTTCCAGATTCATCCCTCAGGAGCTTTTTGAAAAGACTCCTCCTTCAGCTCTGAGGAGGGTCCAGGGGCTGAGCTCCTACAGTTCTGCATCAGAAATAATAGTGACTCTGCCTCACTCCTTACCCAGAAGAAACAGGATGCTAAGACCATCAGAACCCTATTTTGGGGAAGCTATGGTAGAATTTTAAACCACCATCAGATAATTAGTAAGACAGTTCAGTCATCATGAAACCCTACCTAGAAAGAAAGCAGTATACTCAAAGAATATAGACCAAAATCTCACATTTGTGACCATTGGGGCCTATACAATAGGAAGTTTAGAGGTCTGTTGCTAAGAACTAAAGATCTGACCAACTTCTGTCTCCTGGTTTAGAGATTCAGGGCTTGGTGGTCATTCAGCCAAAATGTGAAAGGGAAAGTCAGTAGAATGATAATAGCAAAGACCACATAAGCTGCTTAAAGTACACCAACCAACTCTTCTAAAATGATAGATGGCAACAATGATGATGATGATGATGATGGTGGTGATAAATAGGTAAGTAGATTATTGATGATAGATAGACAGATAGATAGATACACAAATAGATGTATTAGCTGATTGAATCCATGCAACAACCCTATGAGTTAGGTACTGTTATTATCCCAATTTTAAGGAAATGAGAACATGTAGGACAGACAGTTGAAGTGGATCACCAATAGTGCCAAAGTGAGGGACAGAACAAGTGTTTGAACCCAAGCAGTCTGGCTCCAGAATGCATACTCTTAACTCCCATACTCTATTGCAAACCCTCATGAGGATGTCTGTGGACCTCATATTTGGGAATAGTTGGAGTATTCTTCCTTCTACATCTCTAGATCCTTTGTAACCTTTTAGGAAGACGGGACTGGACTTAGACGTGGGACACACATTGCTGAGTAAGCAGATGGTGGTAGAAAATTCTTGGGGTACTTGGCCAGGCAGTTGCTCCTTCTAAGAAGTATTACTCCCAACCATGGAGAAAGGATGGAATCAGCATCATCCTCTGTCCTCAGGCCCCACCCATCTAAGGGCAGATGATTGGATGAGGAGAAAACTCAACCTGAGTTGATCGCCAGGGGTAATCCTTTCTTCTTTTAAAAGGCTTTTTTTGGGGCGCCTGGGTGGCTCAGTGGGTTAAGCCGCTGCCTTCGGCTCAGGTCATGATCTCAGGGTCCTGGGATCGAGCCCTGCATCGGGCTCTCTGCTCAGCAGGGAGCCTGCTTCCTCGTCTCCCTCTGCCTGCCTCTCTGCCTGCTTGTGATCTCTGTCTGTCAAATAAATAAATAAAATCTTTAAAAAAAAAAAAGGCTCTTTTCTTGAACTGCTTTAAATGAATATCTGTTCCTTGTAGCCAAGGAGTCACATTTCACAGCCTGCTGGAGGCATTAGGAAAGAGGCAGGTTTGGGTGTAAACAGGACATATCCTCAGCTCTCATCCTGGGATCCATCTCTACTGTCTTCCCCCATCCATACTTGGGTGGATCTCATGCCAATTATTCAAGGTTAAGGACTGCCTAGAGCCCACAAATTTGCTTTGGTGGCACTTTTCCTGATGTTACAGTTCATCATTGGTGCCCCATCTTCACTTTATGTATTGTGGAACTGATGGATTTTTAGAGGATCCCATAAAATGCTAGAACTACAGGGGGCATGAGAATTCAAATGACTGGGGCTTTCCAATTCTAGGCAAACAGGCTGCTGTCCCCAAACAGGGAGACAGTCAGTGGTTGGATCAGTTCATTTGATTCCCAATCCATAACTTTTTAAGATCAAACTAGCTAACTGGCACCTTATCCAGTAGCCCTTTACTTCCCCAAATACAGAGGAGGCTCCACATAAACATGACGAGATAATCAAGTGAGTTCTTCTTGATTCAGTTCTAATTCTTCAAAATGCATTATCTGCCCTTCCCATACCCCTGAGAAAAGCTTCTTCCACTCCCTCCTTGATAAGCTGCCTCCAAGTTTTCTTAGAGCTTCTAGATCTGAACTTCCCAAAATGATGGGGCCAGAAA